CCAACAACAGTTGCAGCAGTACATTGACAGGGAGCTGTCGGAGTTTCAGGCTGGATTCAGAAGATGATGTAGAACAAGGGATATCATTGCTGATGTCAGATGGATCTTGGCTCAAAGCAGAGAATACCAGAAAATGCTTACTTGTGTTTCACCGACTGTGCAGAGGCACTCGACTGTACGAATAACCTCGAGAAGAATGGGAATTCCAGAACCCTTTACTGAGCTCCTGCGGAACTCGCACATGGATTAAAAGGCAGTTGTGCAAATGGAACAAGGGAACACTACATAGTTTAAAATCAGGAAAGGTGTGTGTCAGGGTTGTACTCTCTCACTATATTTGTTCAGTCTGGATGTTGAGCAAATAATCAGATGCTCGATTATATGACGAAGAATGTGGCATCAGGGTTGGAGGAAAGCTTATGAACAACCTGTGATATGCAGATGACACAACCTTGTTTGCTGAAAGTGAGGAGGAATTGGAGCACTTGCTGATGAAGAGCGAGGATTGCAGCCTTCAGTATGGATCACAACTCAGTGTAAAGAAGCCCCAAATCCTCACAACTGGACCAACAGGTGACATCATGATGAACGGAGAAAAGGTTGAAGTTGTCATGGGCTTTGTCTTGCTTGGATCCACAGTTAATACTCACGGAAGTGGCAGTCAAAGAGATCAAAAGACAAGTTGCATTAGGTAAATCTTCTGCACAAGACTCTTTAGAGTATTGACAAGCGAGGATGTGACTTTGAAGACTAAGGTGTGCCTGACACAAGCCATGGCATTTTCCACTGCTTCATATGCAAGTGAAAGTTGCACCATGAATAAAAAAGGCTGAAGAAGAAGAATCGATGCATTTGAATTTTGGTGTTGGCGAAGAATGTACAAAGTACCAGGACTGCTGAAAGGACAAAGTGATCTCTCTTGGAATAAGTAAGGCAGAGGACTTTGCGGAAAGGACGGCAAGACTTGGGACATGTGGTCCGGAGAGACCAGTCCCTAGAGAAGGACATCATGCTCGGTAAAGTCGAGGGCAGTGAAAAAGAGGGAAGGTCCTCCTGGAGACGGACGGACACAGCGGCTCGGGCTCGGGCTCGCTTGGGAGCATGGTGCAGGGCGGTGCGGGTTTGTTCTGTCGTGCAGGTAGGGTTGCTGTGGGTTGGAACTGACCCGGTGGCCCCTAAAAACAACAACATTCACTTAGATAAGAAAAAGGTTGCCCATGGTCAGGGAGACAGACGTTAACAGAAGCTGGGTCTGAGATGTTCCGATATGGGACTAAGCAGACAGAGACTTAAATTGCCATGACACATATATTCAAAAGATTAAAGGAAACAGTTCTTACTCAGTGAGTAAGAACTAGGAACTACATTCAAATTCTAGAACCGAAAAGTACCCATGAACATTTTATGTAGTAGGTATAATAGTAGATTGTGAACCTGAATCAGACCAATCGAGATAATTTAATCTGAAAGAAATAGAAGTCAACAGATCCTTAGGGACTCTGGGACAAAGCCAAGCAGTCTAATACTTGTAGACATCTAATTAGAGTGTTGGAAGGGGAAGAAAATGGGGCAGAAAAAAATATTGACTACTCTCAGCTTCTGGCCCATAAATACCCTTCAGGCCCAGAACTGAACTCACCCCCGCACCCCACCCTCCCTAGGTTCAATGTTCAGCTACACAAAGACAGGCCCATCAGGTGACCACCACCACTAATTATCCTCCTGAGAACGGCCAGCTCTATGAGATCAAGGGGCAGCCTTTACCCCGGAATAAAGCCCAGAAGGCAGGATGGGTAGGAAAGGGCTGTGGTGAAATGAAATACTTAGCATGGTTCTTGTATCCATGTCTTTGTAGCTCCTGCCAAATGATTGGGTGGGCCCATACAAATTGGGTGTGTGGGACACTAATCAAGGGGACTTGTCAGTCTTGCCATTCTACCAGGTATCTGAGTGAACCATCTCAGAAGCAGGGAAAGAGTGAGACTCTTGTGACCATCAGCAAAAGAGGAGCCATCAGGCAAGCTCGTGTGCTGTCCTCGCAGAGCACCTGAGGCTCAGGCACCTAGACCACGACACAAAGCAGAGGAGCAGCGCTGAGACCGTGATGCAGAACCAGTGCAGCACTAAGACTACAAGGCAGAGCCCACGGAACAAAGCAGAGACCCAGGGGCCATGTGGCCAAGAGGCAGAGAACTAGCGAGAGAAAGGCCTGCCAGCATGTCCGAGAAGAGACGTTGTAGACAAAAGAACTGTATCCTTAACATTTGTAACCAATTAGCTTCCTTTTAAAAACTCCAAACTCCTGAGTACTTCCTGTGAGTTCTGTGTGGCCATTGCAACGATGTACTGAACCCAGCAGAGTTGAGTGCCCTGGGATGGATGGTTAATAAATTTAATTTTCTTCCCTTTTTAAAAAAATTCAATCATTTTATTGGGGGCTCTTACAGCTCTTATCACTCTCCATACACCCATCCATTGTGTCAAGCATATTTGTACATATGTTGCCATCATCGTTTTCAAAGCATTTTCTCTATGTGAGCCCTTGATATCAGCTCATTTTCCCCCTCCCTCATGAACCCTTGATAAATTATAAATTATTATTATTTTCATATGTTACATCGTCCGCTTCTCCCTTCACTCACTTTTCTGCTGTTCCTCCCCCTGGGGGGGGGCGTGTATATGTTGATCATTGTGATCAATTCCCCCTTTCTCCCCCCACCTTCCCCTTCCCCTCCTGGTATGCTACTCTCATTATTGGTCTTGAGGGGTTTATCTGTCCTGGATTCCCTGTGTTTCCAGTTCTTATCTGTACCCGTGTACATCCTCTGGTCTAGTCAGATTGGTAAGGTAGAATTGAGGTCATGATAGTGAGGGGGGTGCATTAAAGAACTAGAGGAAAGTTGTATGCTTCACTGGTGCTATACTGCACCCTGACTGGCTTGTCCCTTCTTTGTGACCCTTCTGTAAGGGAATGTTCAATTGTCTGCAGATGGGCTTTGAGTCTCCACTCTGTGCCCACCCCACCCTCCACCCCCCGATGGTTGATATTAAGAACAGGGTAAAGAAGGTTGTGGGGTAGAGGCATGTCTGCCCTCTGCCTTGGAGGTGGATCCTCCTGCTTTGTGTAGCCAGAGAAAGTCAGACTGGTCCCCATGCCAAACGGACGAATGGCAACAGTAAGCAGAGGGATGAAGTAGGCAGAGTGCTGTTAAAATTGTGGGAATTACAATCAAGGCCACAGAACAAGATGCTTATGAACTGTTGAATGGAAAACCAATTTGCTCTGTCAACGTTCATGTAGTATCATGATAAATAGATATAAAAATGTTTAAAGAAATAATGGTCAAATACTTCCCAGATGTGATGACAACTATGCCTAACAATCCAAGAAAGTGCGCAAACCTCCAGGAGGACCCATCTAAAGAGACCCATGCCTAGGCACGTCAAAGGCAAGGTGCTGGAACCCAAGCCAGCTGTTGAAGGCAGATGGAGACGGAGAAGGAAAAAGAGGTCGACTGCGCAGAGGGACGAGTAGGAACTGACAACATCTGATGGGCACATTGGACGGCGAACAATGACTATCTCCAAAGTACTGGACGGCACGTCCTCTTCAACGGTTATTATTCACACACGTGGGCAAGTCCCTCTGCTAATCTTAGCCCCCGAGTTCTCATGTATGAAGTAAAAACAATACCTTATTTTTATATTGTTGTCTCAGACGCGGCAAAACAGGTAAACCAGCATTACAAAGCACTGCTCAAATGATTGCCATTAGTGCACATATATTGATACAAACTCACTCAGCTCTTATGAACTCAAAAAACACAAACAGAAAACAACCAAGCAAGGCGAATTAGCATCAGCCTTACTTGGTCTGGAAACAGAAGTTACCATTGCCCATATTCAGTCAACACGGATGAAGCCTGTCTCCTGAAGGAAGCGTGACATCTTCGAGAAAGAAATGCAGCACACAAGATGGAATAAAATCCCACTCAATAATTAAGAGCCACTTTTATAGTATGGCTACATTATTTGAAATGCTAAATATTCCCAAAATATCAGCTGTATTCATAGGAAGAATAATGTATTATTCATGCTACCACTTTCTTCCAAATAGATCTACAATTAAGACTTGACTTTATAACTACTTTACATAGCCTCTTTTCTATAAAATTATTCATGATTAATAGGCTTAAGGGGGGATCATATAATCAGATTGCAAGGTGAATACATCTTTTTCCTATTTACATAATAGGTGAGATCTTATTTTTCATGTGTGCCTGCCTGGATTAATCTCCAAATGTACCTCTGTGGGCTTCAATATAGGAATGTACTAGGTGCAGCAAGAAAATTTTGCCAAAGTCATTCTTCCATTTAATTAGAATACAAACTCCTTGAGTCAGAAGTGGTTTTGAAGAACATCTCTGTCCCACTTTAGTGTATGATATTTGTTCTTAAACTTCACCAGAATTATCTGGAGAGCTTTGACAATTGACAGATCCCAGGGCTCCCTCACAACTTTGAACTTCCACTAAGTCTGGAGCCCAGACACCTATGTTGAAAGAATCCCCCCAGGCAACTGTGATGACCTTGCAGTTTTGAAATCCACTGGCTTACAGAGGACAGAACACATCGGCTCACTTCCCAGCTTCTGGGAAGACAGAGCTGCTTTTAAAGGGAAATGCCCGTTAGGCCGTTGCTTCTTATTGTTTACGCTACAATTCGGTAGCCAGCCTTGACGTGCCCCCTAAAGTGACAAACTGTTGGGTTACCTGGAACATCTCACTGATTCCTTCTCCAGTTTGTGCTGAAGTTTCGAAGTACAGGAACCCTTTGCTTTCAGCCCAAAGACGCCCTTCACTGGCATCGACACAGCGATGCTTGCTACAGTCAATCTGAAATGGAGAAGGGGGAGAGGCGGCCAACATCGTTACACTGAAGAGGCCCAGTGAGGCTGTTGTCCATCCTTTAAGACCCAAACTAACCCAGCCTCACAGCCATGGAGTCAACACTGACTCACAGAGACCCTAGAGATCACACAGAACTGCCCCTGTGGGTCTCAGAGACCCTCACTCTGGACGGGAGCAGCAAGTCTCATGGAGTGGCAGGTGGTTTCCACTGCTGGCCTTGGGGCGGGTTAGCAGCCCAGTGTGAGACCACTACACCACCAGGGTTCCTTTGTCCACTGTTCATTAACTACTATTAATGAACCCCAGGACTAGTGTACAACGTCGCCCAAATCAAAGGGAGCCCAAGTCCCAGGACTGGCTGTAGATGGCTAGCCTCTGGCCCACTACCACACGTCCTCCTTGGTCCACAGGACCAGCTGTGACTTAGCTCCATGAAACCGGGCCTCCTACTAGCTGCCCACCCCTAGAGGGCCGAGGCCTGCTTTTCATCGGACATGTCACCTAATTAAAGGCCCTCCTCTGACCAGTCAGCACGTGATGATTAGAATCAACCTATCCTACTCAGTCCTCCCCTAAATAGGGCACTAGCAAGAGAGGAAACCCAGGTCATGTTTCTTTGTTCTTACTGTCTTGGGGAGACATGCTTCTTTGGAAGGTGATAGATTCCTATATTACAGAATAAAAACATTTCTTTCTTTTTATTTGTTCAACAAATGCACAGCTGTGCTTTCTGTAATCCTGAGAGTTGATCATACGATTTCCAAGGCAGGGAGTTACCTTGTTGGCGCACACGACAAACACAATGTTTTCCATGTTCCCATGGGAGCCAAGCTCCTGCTTCATTTCAGCCAGCCACGCCTCGAGGGCGTCAAAGGAGTCTTTCTGCCCGACATCATACACCAGAATCACACCCTGTGTGTCCTTGTAAAACTCATTGCGAACCTTCACAGAAAAAAACAGATGCACAAAATATAGGTCTTATGAGTTCATAAAAAAGTATCGCACAGTCATTAACTTGATAAAGTGTGTTCTTTCTTGCACTCATAGTATTTGGTATTGTATCTCGATACTGGTACTTAATTATCTAAGTAATATACAGTCAGTCATATTTTTAAAGCTGGTTTAGTATATGAAGGACTTTCAATAGAAAACAGTGATCTCCTAACCCACTCCCTTCACCTCCAGTTCTACTTCCCAGTAAACCTGAAAAAAATACAAATTATATAGAGTAAAGCTCTTCTTCGGAAGAACTAGGAAGTTGAATGAACAATTTTTTAAAAATCATTTTATTGAGGGCTTGTACAACTCTTATCTCCATCCATCCATCCACTGAGGAGTGAACAATTTAAAAGAATTTAAGGCAAAATGACATAACTGTCACCAAAGGTCACAGCCATGTGTATTACACTGCAAAGCTGGCTTCCGTGAGAAGGCTACGGAGAAGTTCCCTATAACCCTTGGGCCTGCATGCCAAGTTTGGACCGCTATCCTCAGAGCCTCTGTACAGTGCAATGGGTAGGAACCCAGGCTATAGCCACACTTACTAGCTGTGTGATCTCGAGCAAGTCATTTAATCTCTCTGTGCCTCCGTGTCCTCATCTCTAAAATGGGGGTATTTCATTGGATTGAGGGCTCTACTGTGAGAAGGCAACTCTCCCTCAGTCAGATCGTGAGTGCTTCCCACCTGAGGGGCTCCTCTTCTGCTGAGATGATGTGATTGGCCAATCACTTGTAAGGGAGATTGGGGGGGGGGGGCAGGGGTGTCACAGCCCTGACCTGATACAAAAGATGCTTCCCTAGACTGCAGCCAGCATTGCCTTTTATCCTACCAGAGATTCAAGAAGAGAGAGAAGCAAGCAGGGAAGAATATCACTGAGTAGGAGAAGCTGAACCAGGAGCCCATTCTCCAGACCCAGTGTCCCTGTGCTGGGAACACTGAGAAGGCTGCCGCCAAGAGATATGGAGAGATCCAACACACGGATACTGAGCCCAGAGACGTTGAAAATAGAGAGAGGCTTTGCCTCAGACCCAACAAAGACATTTCCTCCTAAATCTGGTATCTTGAATTTGGGCTTCTAGCTTCCTCAAGCGTGAAAGAACAACTTCCTGTTTGTTACAAATATCCGCTTGTGCTACTTCTGTTATATCAGCAGGAGACACTGAAGACCCCCCATCCTGTCCCGTCCTCGTCCTTCTTGTTCAATCCTTCCTCAGCAACATCGGCCACTTACACCGCTTCAACCGTGAGAACCTTCAAGGTGAGCCCGTCCATCTGAGTTTCCATACTTGCAGACACATCGACGTCTTCCTCCCTCCCTACACTGTAACTCGCGACGACAATGGCATGCCACTCTCCAAGCTATGTGGGTGGAAAAAGCTGTTGGGGACCTTCATGCTTCTCTTCTCCCTGCGCTAAGTAGATCCACACAGCCTTTCTGGGGCCGCTCTGCCATGTGTTTTGGGTCTGTCACTTCTTTTGCATCCATTGCCAAGACTACGTCCTGACTACACTGCTTTAGGAGTTCCCAAGTCATCTCCCTAGCAACACCATACACTGAATAGTCATCTTTTTAAAGTGATCTTGTCATTTAATTTCCATTGCTCACACACTGTTTCTCCAGGGTTAAAACTGCCTTTTCTTGACTTTAAATATTTCTGAGCTGTCCTCCACCAACCATTCCATTCTTACCTTCTGTGTTACTGTCTTTCAAGTGAATAAATCCTCCTCCAAACTTGTCAGTGCCTACTCCACCTAGACGTGGACACCACTTTACCTTCTTCACGCTGCATCTTTCAGACAGGTGTTTTTCTGCCTTATTCTTTACCTTCCAGCTCCCCACCCCCAGCCCTGCCAAACAGGTCATAATCTCTCTCTCCAGCATGCTGTACTTCAAACCATGCTCATACATCACTTCCTGTTTTATTATTGGCAGCACATCCAGTTGTCTTCCCCACGAAGCTGGTGAGCAGTGGGGAGGCATGGATCTTGAGGCATCCGTCTCCATCACCCACAGGGGCTGGCAGGCAGAAGAACTGGAGACAGAATGGCCACAGCAATTTAAACAGAGTAAAATGGCTGTGAAGGACGAGGTAGAGGGAACAATGAATCATTTTTAAATGTGGGTCATGCTGTCCAGTGGGAGATTTGCTTATAAAAGTTGACTTTTATCCCTGGGGGACAGACAACCAAAAAGTGGATGAAGGGAGACGTCGGACAGGGCAAGATATGACAAAATACCCATTTATAAACTATCAAGGGCTCATGCGGGAGGGGGGAGCGGGGAGGGAGGGGAAAAATGAGGACCTAATGTCGGGGGTTTAAATGGAGAGAAAATGTTTTGAGAAACAATGTACAAATGCGCTTTACACAATTGATGTGTGTATGGATTGGGATATAACAGTTGTATGAGCCCCTAATAAAATGTCAAAAAAAAAAAAGTTGACTTTTAAAAGTTCTTTCAAGGGCCTTACATCCGGATTCTATTCAGCCAACGAGCCGCCAGTGCGATCCTAAGTGAGTGGCTTTCCTCACCCTAGCAGCCGTTTTCTCATCTGCAAAATGAAATGGTCAGTCCATGTCTGCTAGAATTCCAGTATCCCAGTTTCCAGAAAAAGCTTTCCAATGTTAGCTGTGGCAAGCTTGCTGCATCCAAAGTTTAATTAAATAAGCTGTTAAGGGAATTGGGATTCTTTCATTCTTAAAGAAGCAGAGCTGGGAAACCATCTAGCTTGCAGTTTTAGAGAAAGCTCTTGGTTTACTACCACTCCAGCCTCAGAAAATTTCTAGAATCAAACTTCTATGAGACCCTCATACTCATACCGATAAACTTCAGAATTCTGACATGTATGTAAATGGAATCCAGGCTGGGGGTCTGACAGAGGCCCCACCACATCCCTTGGATACTTTCCTTAGACACTTCTATTTTTGTTTTGTTTTTCTCTATTGTTCCACCTTTCTTTTAAAATCATTTTATTGGGGGCTTGTACAACTCTTATCACAAGCCATACATACATCCATTGTGTCAAGCACATTATGAGCGTCTTAAAAAAAATAGTGATTGCCATCTCAGGTTGCATTATCGAGTCTAGTGTCGGAGGCAAAAGTAGCAAAAACCCTCGATGTTTCACTAGGTAGACAGTATCTGGGATGTTGTGTTCAGTTTTCAGTTCCGTATCAGTTACCTCTAGATCACAGGTTCCCAAACTTATTTGACCTTAGGGGGAAAAAAATTAGTCAGCACCACCCTGGCAACTAAAACCTTTTACACTATAACCCATAATCCAGGATAAAGTACAGGTATCTGCTTTTGCAGCCTCCAACGAATCGATCACTCTGGCACCCCACCGGGGTGGCATTGACCACTTGGGGAAACTGCGCTCGATCAACCAGAGGAGGCTGATGGGAATACTGATAGGCTTAGCTATGGCAGGAATCAAAAGATGTTTCACCTAGAAAGGAGCAGGCTAGAATGTACTTCCAAAACGTTTGCATCAGTAGGGTAACACAAAGGATGGCCGTCTTTATAAGGAAGACGCTGCCAGAGTTTCAACTCTGTAAAGGACTAGTTCATGAAGCAGAGAGACTTTATCAGATATTCATTCACCCAACTCCTACACTTTGCACTGCACAACTGGTTGGTGTATTGTATTTTCTTGGAATCCCTCCAACTCACATAACCTTATTTGTCCATCAGCTCTCAATTTAAACATGTAACAGCACTTCCTGCGCTCCTAGATGAGTAACGGTTGGGTAGTAAATTCTTGCAAACATTTTGTCAGTTGTTTAATGTGTATCTTTTCTGATACATGAGTGACATGCAGACAAGGGTCGGGGTATTTCCAGTGGTTAGCATTAAACAACAGACCCAACGAAACTCACTGCCTTCACCTTGATTCTGACTCACAGAAACCCTGTAGCCCAGATTCTGGACCAAATCTACACTTGGTGAATGACTGATGCACACTGATCCAAGAATGCTGCAGAAAGAATTCTTATATTGAGCAGAGGTCTGGACTAATTCTCAGGCATTTTCAAAGTTTTCATTTGCGCGGTAATCATGATCTACATTAGCATTCAGCATCTGTGTCACACCTGTGGTCAATTAGAATCTTCACATTGCTTCCTCTGACAATATGCGTATTTGTGGGATTGTTTTAATCCACTGTCATGTCATATTTTAAAGGAATTAATTTTATCTAAGTAGTTGCATATATTCTTAGGCATTGTTAGGTAAGCCTTGTACTGCTAACTGCAAGGTCAGGGGTTTAAGATGAGGCTGTTTGCCCCTGTGAAGATTCACAGCCCCAGAAACCCTCTCCAGCAAGTGGGGGGCCCTTTTTTCTGCCAAAGGCCCTTTGGGGATTTATAACATCACTCATGGGTCACAATCTTCAAACATTTAGTTGACTCCCTTCATGTGATGGCTGGAAGGGCTTCTCTCTGTGCTGTTAGCCGTATCCAGCCTGGGGGACAGTCACTCCTCAGCCCTGCCCTGCTGCAGGCTAGGCTCGACTTGATGGCAGTGGGTGTGGTTTTTATTTTTTAGGACCAATATGCAGATGAACAAAAATGAAGTCACACTACATCAGTTTCTTCTGGAGAGAGGACTCAAATGACTGAACCCTGACAAGGTAAGGTCACACTAGTACCCTGCCTGAAAGAAGTCACACTCCTGAGCTATTAAGTCCAAGAACGAACACAATTATCCTGGCACAGGACAGGCATGAAGTAAAAGGCAATGATTCTTCGAAAGACCAATGTCAAGGGTTTGGTACGCTGGAATAAAACTTCCTAGCTTTATTTACGGGACTAGCTACAAGACCAAGAGGTCTCCATTAAGTTAAGAGTCATGCAGTACAGATCCTGGGTGTGTCAGAAAACCCAGAATTGTTTCCAAAACCCACTGACAGTCCTGGATGTACACTTTCTCCACCAGGTCTCCTTACCTCATAGAAGAAGGGGTGTCCAGCCATATCAAAGATGTTAACCTTGACTTCTCGGTCTCTGACTTGCACCCTGAAATGTTCAAATGAAAACAAACGTTCAAATATAACCAGAGAAGGTTGCAGTCTCCTTCTCTCTTTCTCTAACGATTCTTGCTGATTCTGAACACTGGGCAGCAATAACAACATCACTCTTCCCATCACCAAGGTGAAAACATTTTCTGGCATCTCTGATGGTTTCTCTTCCTGCAAGTCCAAGGTCTCCCCCAGGATCTACTACTGAATCCTGTTCCTGGCAGCAGGGCAGAATAAAAATATTTTTTTAAAGCACCTTGTTACAAATGATAAAGAAATGCAGAACAAAATACAACACACATTCTTTTAAATACATGGGCAAATCTTGCAAGAGAGTAGAAAAATCCCTTAGGGACTGTAAGCAAAGGGAGTGTAGAAAATCAGTGTGCTAAGCATGAAACTTTGTTGGGGCTTCCCTAAAGGCGTCTGTCAATAGCAGACACTAGACCTGGGATTTTAACAGTCCCCAAGAGGCTCAGATGACAAGGCCAATAGTCCATGCAAAATGAGAATTTGTAATTAACTCCTGCATTAATATTGATGTTCATGGGACCATCTCCTAATATTAAGGAGCAGACTAGGAAAAACTCAGCTGACATACTCGGGAGACTTCCTCTCTCTCTCTCTGACTTCCTCTATCTCTGAAGCAGTTTCACAAGAGCGAAAGCCTCTTCCCATGAGAGCTCCCAATGACAGCACTGCTGTCATGGGTTTGGGAGTTGAATTTATCCTTTCTTAATGCTTTTAGTGGAAAACTCTAAGCTGAGAACTCTTTAAAGGACTAAAATTAGTAAGTTAGTCCTGGATTAATTTTTAAAAGAAGTATGTTCACCGACAGTAGCTGTCCACTCTGTGTGGAGGACTGCAGCCTCCACCCAGGCCCACAAGTGCCCAGATTTCAACCTAACATGTCGTGGCACCATGGATCTGCCCCCTCTGAAGGCTCTCTTGAACTTGATTCTTTTCCAACGCGGCCCTGACCCCGACTTCTACTTCTTCCTAAGGTGAACACATTCTGTTAGGACAGAGCAGAGGTGTCATCAAGAAGGGCAACAGAAATAAAAGCAGAAACCCATATTTCATCTACAGCAAATCCAGGTGCATCAAATCAGGAAGGCCACGTGGAGCTCTGACTGCTGTTATTTTTACCAAGGGAGAATGAGAAGCTAAACCAAACCGAGGAATAACAGCGTGCGAGCATCTGGAGAAGATCTGGTAGGGTAATTCGCATCCAAAAGCTACCCCACAGAGGCAGCAACTCAGAAGGAAGGGAAGTAACACACATGTATTCACACAAGGAAACTGGGAAGAGGCCAATTGAAGGCAGAAGCTAGGCACAGGAAATGACTTTCGGACAACGGGGCGTTCATGTCAAGTCAATGTTCTTTGAAGTGCTGTCTGAAGACCAACTGAATCAAAATTACTGGGGGGTGGATTGGGTTATGAAAATGCACATTTCTGCACCCTAACCCGGACCCAAGGGGTCCGGTCGAATAGGCGGTTCTGTGTTGGGCTGCTAAGTATGAGACCGCGGTGTGAGCGCATCAGCTGCGTTAGGAGGGAAAGAGGAAGCATCCTGCTTCCAGAGAGATGGAGCAGCTTCGAAACCCAGCAGGGCAGTTCGACTCCCTTCCACTCTGTCTTAGGAGCCGGGACGGACCCTGCGGACTTACAAGCCCAGAGAGACCAGATACTCACTTTGTGACTCCATAGTCAATTCCAATCGTCGCCAGATATTTAGACACAAATCTTTTCTCACAGTATCGCTTGATAATACAGCTCTAAAAAGGTAAAAATGCGGGCATTTAGTAAATAGACACTGGGCCAAAGCAACTCATACAAAACAAACTCATTTTATTCCACACATTTCTAGATCTTCTTTTAACTACTCTTGCATCCTTCCCTTCATTCCAAACCCCATGGTATCACACTTCTGTCGAGACCCTCATCTACTCATAAACAACACAGAAGTTCTTCTTTTTCTTTCAATCATTTTACTGGGGGCTTGTACAGCTCTTATCA